GGAAGATGAGAACTGGCGACTTTGTAGTACAACTTTAGTACGCGGAGCAATCTGTGGAGCTGGAAGCTGAGAACTGGCGACTTTGTAGTACAACTTTAGTACACGGAGCAATCTGTGGAGCTGGAAGCTGAGAACTGGCAACTTTCTAGTGCAACTTTAGTACGCGGAGCAATCTGTGGAGCTGGAAGCTGAGAACTGGTGACTTTGCAGTGCAACTTTAGTACGCGGGTGAGTCATCTCTCGCGGCTGAGTCATCTCTCGCAGCTGCTCTGGCGCCCCTGCAGCTGAGTCATGTCTCCCGACCACCCGGCTCTCTTAAAAGGTTGACACACACACAGAGACCCACGCACTGCCTCAACTTACTCGGAGACACACACACACACAGACAGAGACTCATACACACACAGACATAGATACACACACACAGAGACCCACACACTGCCTCAACTCACTCGACTTAACACTTCACACTGAACACTTAACAGATAACTCACACTCTGACTTCCTACGTGATGAAAAATGCTTTCGGGCCACTCGTCGTCTAGTTTTTTTGGTGTGTGTGTGTGTGGCAAAAGCTCGACTCGTGTACTGCGCTCCGCACGGAGCATTGTGGAAAGAATGCGTGCGCAATAGAGGCCGTACGACATTAACCGCATACAAGCTTAAAGTACCAGCATAGTGCGAGTTAGAATGCTATTTCTCCCTCAATGGGTGTGGGTGACTAAGCGTCTGACCGACCTCTTTGCCATTCGCAAAGTTCAAGGCACACACCTTACTTTGTACTTGATAGGTGGAATGGATCGAAATTCAGAGGGCATGGTCTGGGGTTGCGAAACTGAATTTCTGCTTCAACAAAGCCGGCTAGAACAACACATGAATGACTTGACTGGCATGAACAGAAAGGCCTGGTTTTGCAAGACCATGTCAAACTTCAGGCTTTTCCAAACAGCAAATACAAATCAACAAGAAAACAAGCATTGCACAAAAATAGTACGTGTAAGTGTAGCCGCAGCCAAGACCCCAGCGCGGCGTCTTTGCTTTGCGAACATCAGGCAAGCATCCGCGGTGTCCATCCTCAAAGGACCAGATTCTGCCCGAGATCGGACAGTGTCACAAGATGTCACAAGTGAGTACTTGCTTTAGGACCTTTATGGACCTTAGGACCTCATCGACTCAGCTTCCGGACACTGCTGACTCACTTGCAGTTTCATTGATTCGTGAACAAACATGTTAGCACGTCCGAGTATCTTGGAAAACGAGATGATGGGCACCGAGTCCCTGGGCGGTTTGCACCTCTCAGCAGCGGTCTTTTCAACCCAAACTCACGTTTCTGTGCTGTGGGATTTGGTGGATCCACCTACCAACAGAAAGCACATCTATAGTAAGGCATGTCAATGTCATATTATAGACTGTAATGGACGCACCTGATGGATACATTAGCATGCAATCTTGAAGTTTGAAGACACGGATTTACCAAAGCAGCATTGTGTATAATAACAGTGATATAGGCTTTCAATTGGGGGCCTCGCCCCCAGAAGCGCATTGTCCTGCCTTTGGCAATCCGCATAGCCTCAAGCGACACACACACACACACTCTGACATTGGTTTTCAGTTAATCTATTCCCAAGTAGCAAAAAGGCGAAGGAACGGCAAGGTGAAAGGTCCAGGAATTTGAAGGTGTTTCAACAATGGTTGTGTGCACATCTGCGGTTCACGAACACACGGCAGCAGAAAGCAGCTGAAGGGAAAAGGGTTTGGGGGAAGTATCATGAACCACCATGGAATCAAAAAAGAGGATTGGAGCAGCTTGGTCAACCGTTGATTGCAGGTACGTCACTGGACGTCTCCATGGCACTGCAGAGAGCTTTGTTAAGTGGAGCTCTGCAGGCCTGCTCCACTCCCCTGCAGGAAGTAAGTTGCAACACCGTACGGTGGGAACCCTTAGGCACAGGGGTTGACACACACACACACACACGTGGCCGTCATCGGCGCGTGTGATTTTTCTCAAAAAGCGCTGACAGTCTGAACGTAACGTGCCTGATCTCAAGGTGACCATGGTGGAACATGTAACTGTACACTCTTGAAACTGAAAGTAGGCTGCAAGCATGAATCTGAGCAGTTCTTCCCGTGAAAGCCCGGCGGCTTGTGATTCAGGCAATCCAGTGGTGACACTAAGGCTGTTAAGAAAATCCGAGGTGTGGTGGGAACGATGAAAGCAGTTACACGAATTCCGGAATGAAAACAGCGCCTCCTTGCGGAGGATCACACCAGCACCCAAGTGGGACAACTGAGCGGTTCACACTCTGACATTGGTTTTCAGTTAATCCATTCCCAAGTAGAAAAAAGGCGAAGGAACGGCAAGGTGAAAGGTCCTGGAGTCCAGGAATTTGAAGGTGTTTCAACAATGGTTTTGTGCACATCTGCGGTTCACGAACACGCGGCAGCAGAACGCGGCTGAAGGGAAAAGGGTTTGGGGGAAGTATCATGAACCACCATGGAATCAAAAAAGAGGATTGGAACAGCTTGGTCAACCGTTGATTGCAGGTACGTCACTGGACGTCTCGAGTGATATCCTCAGGGCACTGCAGAGAGCTTTGTTAAGTGGAGCTCTGCAGGCCTGCTCCACTCCCCTGCAGGAAGTAAGTTGCAAAACCGTACGGTGGGAACCTTTAGGCACAGGGGTTGACACACACACACACACACCGCAAGATCACCCCTCACATTAACCATACTCCTCCCCAGTCTGTACTGCCACATCGCGCAAACCAGCTGAGACAGGTAGAACCAGTAAATGAACTTGGCTTTTAACCTCTGATCGCCACGCCAAGGAAGAGGCTGACAGGCACAGTGCGTGGAATACGACCAAATTGATCACGACGGCTGTAATTGTCTTCTGCAACCTGCAAAAGGAGTGAGTGGATGAGCGAAACAAATCATCGCTATATATATATATATAAGTGAGAGCAAATGTGGTTCAATATATCCTGGACAGCTCCTGCACAGCAGTGGACGTAGTGGACAGTCGCCTTTCATGTACACAATCCCTTCAACAAAGTTCCCATCTATCTATGTGCACTGGCATTTCCCTACCAAACAGGACGGTCGATGTAAACAAATTTCTTGACCTACTACTGTTGTGGTGCATCATTCCCTATCCTACTATAAACTATATAATATATATATATTATATATTTGTACATACAATGAAAGGCATAGGTGCATAAGCACGGATGCCCCTTGTTTGTACAACACAGAATGTCATAAAACATGACACCACTTTGAGATGTCCAGTAGGTAGTACAAGATCCAGCAGCTGGTGGCACTTTGGTTTGGAATCGGTGTGGAACTATTTTCACAACATGTTGGCGGGTCGAAGATTGCTTGAACTTGCATAATAGAGCATTTGTGGTAGACTCGTAGACTGCTCCTGATGACTTCCCATGCGGCTAAAAATACAGTAAATATAGAATACCAATACAAAAGGTGCAGGCTGCCCTCCTGCGCAAGTAGCTTCTTCAGATTTGCCCAATCTTTGGTCGCCTTGACGGGGCAACAGTGCGTCGGGCAACCTTCAACCACCCAAGAAGACTGAAAGGGGTCCCTTCTCTACGGAAAAATGGCAGGCAGTTGGCCGACAATCACAGTCACTATGAATTTGAGCATCAATATCCTAGATGTCATCGGGTTGCAGTAACTGATGAAGCATCAGTGTGGAGCTGCATTCTCATAAGTCAGTCTTCTATCGCAAAAATAGATTCTCTATAAGGAATAAGGAACCCAAGCTACTAGTAACAAGGGCATCGCTACTAGTAACAAGAAGCTACTAGGGGCTCCTGGCATCGCTACTAGGAGCAAGGACGCTACTAGGGGCTCCTGGCCTTAGGAACAAGAAGCTAGGAACCAGTCGTCATCCTTGCGAAGGGTCTTGGAGGAAGCTCCCTGCCTTTGCCCTTCTGTGGTCGGTGGCTTCCCGTCACAAGTGTCCCAGCCCTTGAGGCCTTGTACTGATACAACTTCTGGGCGAACGTGACCTGGCCAGTCTCAGCGGCCCAGCCAATGTTTGACATTTTGTTGTTTCTTTTGTAAGGGTTGGGGGTGGGCTGCGAGTAGAGGTAGGTAGCTAGTAACTAGTAGGAGAGGTAGCTAGTAGCTTAAGTAGCTACTACTTAGACGCAGGATAGCTCGCGCTTCTTCAAGGAAGCTCCCCCCGCCGCCCTAAATGCGGCGCTCGCACCAATGATTTGGTTCCTAGATTTTTAGGGAAACTTAACTAGTGATAGATCTTGACTAGCAAACCCAAGCAAACCCAGAAAGACCTGACTTACCACTGTTATATAAGTTATATAATATTCCAAAGCCTGGGTTTGGCTTCATTCCGAGCAGAGAATGAAACTGCACCATCTCCTGCTCTTGAGGTCCTCAAGGTCTAGACCTCATGCCATTGGGTAAACAAAAAATACCATGGCGTTAGATCCAAAACTAGCTAGCCATCAAGTCTTCATGGTCTCGATCCGTGTGTCCAGAGCGGGTACTTCGCAATGATCCACCAGACTACGAATACCACCAGGCACACTTTGAGATACCATGCACACCTGACAAAGCCTCTCTATATTTCATTTACTGTGTATATATATATATATTGATGTATTTGGGTGAGTTGTAGTGGACGCCTAATTAGAGATCTCTCGTCTGGCCAAACATCATGCACAAATCCAGCACCAAAAATGGCTGAATTCCTGCCAAAGTGCATGGTCCCAATCTCTGGGCATGGCCGATGCTGTTGTGCGAATTGTAGACTCCAACTTGCCATGAACGACTTCGGGATATGCTATGCTGCTGTGTTTCATTCCTCCCTCAGATCAGGTTCCTACTAGCCTGGACAAGCCAGGAGATGAAGGCTGAGGACTACTTCCTGTGGCCGTTGGTGGATTGCGCTCAAATTCAGTACTGTAGAGATGCTGTAGTACAGGAGATGTGGTGTGGTGCTCTGGCACAAAATGTGAATGGTTGAGACGCTGGAGCAGACTGGACAAATCTTGCGAATTATATGGTGTGTAGATATAGTGCCTGTGGCTATAAACCCAACGCACAACTGGTGTGTTTGATATGCTCCTGTAGTGTAGTTGTAATTGCCCTGACAAAGACCTCCCAAGCAAACTTGAGCTCTCTCCCGTATCTGCTTAAGAACATATTATACAAACGAACAAACAAGCACATCTAATCTAGCAATATTGTAAATTTTCTGACAATTTCCTGATAAACGACACTGTTTCGACGTGAACGTGCATGCTGCATGCAACTTCTGCCAGTCAAACTGTCCCACAATCCCAAAACTATAAATTCCCAACACCTGTTTTTATGGCCTGGTAAATCCTAAGCAACATTGCTTTCCACCCTATCACTAGCACTACCAAGTGTACTCAAACCAGTTGCAAAATGCCGCAAGCACAAAAACCTGCCAGGCACAACTGACACCCGGTCAAACATGGCACAGTCAGCTCCATT